AAGTGATTCAGTCGAGGCTGTGATCTGGGGCACGTAAATCAATGAAACAGTCGGCTTTAACATGTGGAAACCACCTTTCAGTAAGAGTTATGTCCGCATTAAAGTAATCGGCATCTAATTTCGTGTAATCAGGTGAGAAGCTAATCTGGTACATTACTGTGTGACTGGGAGAAATTCTGGTGATTGACGTGGACAGACAGTCGTTGGAGAAATGATGTTCCACAAACTACAGGTTAGTGTTTAGTAATTTGTCAGTATTTTCGAGCGAGGTTAGAGGAGTGCAGTTTTTTGGGCTTGCTCATAACTAATATAAAAACAGGTCTGTGTTGTGGGAACATGTCTAGCTTGGATTTAATATTTGAGAACACAGGTTACTTTACGGCACACTTGGTTCCCAGTTGTGTTTATTGGGATTTTTATTTCATTCAGTCTCCTTAATAGCTGTTATTAGGGTTGTCACCCAACACTTCTTTAGACACGGTGGTGGGAGGGAAGGGAGGGGTTGGGGAAAGTCACTTTGCCTTTCTGTTCTGCTACTTCCTGGGAAGGTTTTTGAAAACAATTGCTGCCTTGTCTAATCCGCGCTTTTTCTTTCGTACTAAATCAAACTGATCACTCGATGTCACACTGCTCCTGAAAGGTCGTTCGATTGGCCTGGACAGACAGATACACCATCAGATAATGGTGTCTTGGTGTCGTGTAGTTTATGCCTTGCTTTCCTTGCCAGGAAAGTGTTTTTTTTATATTGACTACCATTTGTCACAATATCTTTATTGGATATCCCGTATTACGTATTGAATAGACCCTGTCCCCTTTCCAGCCGTTTTTTGGATGGAGAATGGAGCCCATGCCTATCGGTTACCTTAAGTTTGATTAAAGGACAGTTTCTATAGAAACTGATTGTTCTTACACTGCAAGTGACTCTTACAAGGGTACTATCAATTTGAAAGTGATGATAGAGATCAATTCGTAGCAAGTTTTGGGGAAAGCTGGCTTTTTGAGGGCTCGTCCGTTATTGAATTCGAGACATGCATTTTCTGTTTTGCTTAAACTTGCCAGCAGGCTGTGAAAGGTTGTCGACGCGTAATTTACGAGAAATGGACGAGGACCCTTACACAGCTTTAAAGCATTGTAAAGAATGAAGGGTTCAGTACCTCTGATGAGGAACTGAGTCCACTTTGTTTACTCCTCTAGCTTTTAGTTTAAGTTATCCAGCATCTATAATTTACGAATTATACTCTCTCTCTCTCTCTCTCGCCAGGGAAATATCAAGCATGAGCCAATGGGAAACTGAACAAGTGTCTGGTGCAGGAGAGACGGACAACATTCTGGATTCCATTTTCGATGAGGTTCGTTTATATTATCAACTTATTAAGCTGTAGATTTGACTGGTGTTGTTAGGAAACAAATTCAATAATTCATGATTACATGTTGACAAAAGTTTTTACTGATAATTTTTGATAAGTTAAATTTTGAGAATGGGAATCAAGAAACGCTTCTGGTGTTGGGAGGAGGAGAATCTCTGAATAACATATTCAATAAGTTTGTTTCTTATTTTGAACGTATTTAGCTGTAGATTTGTTTCAAGTTGTCCGAAAACAGATTTACTAATCCAGAATTATAAGCGGATAAAACGATTCTCCAATAAGCTGGAATTTGATATTAACCAAAGTTAAAAGATGAGGGCGAAAAAATTTACTCAGTTTTTAACGGAGGCGCTCTAATTTGCGCTACATTTGTCTCTATTGCTAGGAAAATATCAAGCCTGGAATGGAGAAAGCTTCTGGTGTACGAGACAAGAACTTGTGAATGACATCAGCGAGGTAAGATTCCTGCTTTACTGTTATTAGCTGTAGATTTCACGCCAGTTGCTCGAAAACAAATTAAACAAATTAACTTAACTTTTGGCAAAATTATAAGTTAACAAAAAAAACCTCTCTCTGATAAGTTTGAATTTGAGATTAGCCAAAGTAAAAAATAAGGGCAGACAAATTTACGAAAATTTTATTGAAGGCGCACTATGAACCCGACATCCCAGAAATACATCAGTAACCTCTGATGCTGGAAGTTTATTTAGGAAACTGCCCAAGCTTTTCAGTAGTTTATGTTATCCAGCTTATAAAATTTACACGGCATTTATCTTTCTATCACTAGGAGAATATCTGGAATTGAAAAAGCTGGAAAGTTAGAAGCGTTTCTGGTGTAGGAGAGAAGGACAACTTTTTTAATAACACACACAGCCAGGTTAGTTTCTTGAACGTAACGGCATCAAGCTGTAGATTTGTTCCAAGTTCTCCGAAAACAGAAATTCTCAGCATTATAAATGGACAAAACGTTTCTCTAATAAGTAAGAAAATGATAAGGGCAAGCAAATTGAACGAAATTGTCATGAAAGCGTACTATGAATGAGGATTCCAGAAAGACATCGGTAACCTCTGAAGTCCAGGAAGTCTATTTAGTTAACTCCCCTAGCTTCAAGTTTACGTAATTTACAGAGTATGTATTTCTCTCTCGCTAGGAGAATATCAAGCATGGAATGGAAAACTGAGCTGCAAATCAAGAAACCTCTTCTGGCGTGGGAGACAAGAACAACTTCTGAGTGACTTTACCAATGAGGTTTGTTTCTTACTTTTTGCATTAAGCTGTAGATTCGGTGCTAGTTGTTCGAACGCAGATTTACCAATCCAAGTTTCTGTAATCAATAACAGCCGGCCCAATACCACCAGGGGGTTAAAAGCGACGTGAAGATTTACTAATTCAGGATTACAACTTAACAACTATTTTCACTGTTAAGTTTGAATTTGAAATTAACTGATGCCGATAAAAAATCATTCAGTGAAACCTAATTTACCTAAGCTGTAATCTAGGCGTCCTGTGAAAGGGGGATTCCCTGAGACGACCAGGAATTATTTGTCATTCAACAGGGAACAAAACAACAGCTGAAAAAAGAATTTAAAAAACTAGACTTGTTCTTCTTTGTCGATGATTATTTGCTTCAATTTGGCAAAATAATCACACTTTTTCAGCATTCCCATGAAATATTTTGCTGTGGAAGAAATATAATGTACCAAACAAAAGATCAACTTTTAACAAAATACTGTCATAAATAGCGTGCTTGTTTACGCTGACGAAAAGCCCGCGAAATTCAAACCAACTTGAACTTTTACGAATTATCTTTTCCTAAAAGTTTTAGTATAAATCTTAAATTATAGAAAACCATCTAGGAAGGTTTGAGTTTGATATTCAGTTGATATTAAACGATCGAAAACGAGTACAACAATTTTCAAAGCTCTAGCCTCCACATGTTAAACTAAAATGCAAATAAAGTGGGTGATGAGGGTGGGTGTCAAGCCCCGTCGTTTGTGCGCCTTCGTGTTTTGAAAAACAATAGAATTCAAATTTCACGAATCCTGGATTAGCATAATCCTACTTTCAGCAACTGTGCCCTAAAATGTGTTGTTGTTGAAGGTTATAGAGCTAGCAGCGCGATATAAAGCGGAATAATGTTCAATCTAGGGGTGAATGTTGATACACGTTTCTACTTTCCTCACATTGTCTCAAGAACGGAGCGTATGGAAAGCAGAAACGTTACATCAGAAGCGTTGCGTGACTAACCTGGTAAGGCCACATTCACGTGAAGAGAACAAAGACCAACTAACAATAAGTTGGAAACTTAAATCGAGTATACAATTGCGTTTATTTTGTTCGTTGGCTTTTGATATAACCATTTTTAATTTGTCTTGTTATTGATATTTCTTTCAGGCTGCCATCCCCAGTGTACATCACCAGGACATCAACACTAATAAGGAGAAAGAAGCAAATGAAACCAAACTAATTCATTTAGATGTTTCTTCAGTGGATTATGCTTCAAGATTGAGGTAGATTTAGATTTATCACGATTAGTTTTCTTGCTTCGAGATTGTATTTCACAAGACTCAAGAATCCAAAGGAATTATCGGAGCTTTTGCAAATTGTCTAATGACTATTTCACGGGTTTAGTAAAACCATGTTAGTTGTCGAGCAAGCAGTGGATTGAATTGCACGTTTGTCGCTTTAAATGTAAGGTAGCAGATAAGCTTCATCTCGATTATTTTTTTGCGATAAGATATTTCAAGCCTGGAAGTCTTCTTAGCTTTTTCACAAAACTCGTGAAACAAAATTCGACCATCAGAATTTAGTTGTCAAACAACACATGGAATGTACTGTTCAATTGTCTAGAATTTATTTCACAAATTTTAGTAAAATCTGTCCAGTTTACGAGGTAGATAGGATTGATGGAAAGGTTGCGCTTTTAAAAGGGCCAATAAAATTATCGAAAAAATATTTAAGTCTTTTGGCAGTAAAATTGTTCTTGGAAAAAAAGTCTGCAATTTTAAATGGTGTCTGGTTTTGAGTCAAATTTATACTAAGTCTTTTGGTGGATAAAAGTATTGCACTATATAGCAGGATTTTTCCCATCAAAAGTCAAAGTGTATATTTGATTTCTGGCTAGACTCTGTTCAAAAGCGCAGAATTTTTTTTCTTTTTGGCAACCCTACATAGTCAAAAAATAGTAAAAGAGATAGCCTACATTCCGACTTGTTTCCAGGCCCTTTTATATGCTCAATTTTTTTTTTATTTTGTTTACTTATTCAAATTGTTTGTAATTAATTTTAATTATATTGTTGAAAAGCCAATAAAAGTTGTATTGAAGAAGCGTGTGTAATTTTTTTCTATTTGCTGTGATATTTTTATTATCTTAATTATCTTAATCTTAAATATTTTTGATCATTGAATTGCTGCTAAAGTAATATATAATGTACACAATAAAAACTAACACTTGCTGTTTTCATTTAATCATATTTTATTGTTTTACGATGATTAATTCAGTAAGTAAGTAAGGAATTAAAAATCAGTTAAAATTAAATTAAAAGGTGTGAAGAAAAATTTTGCCCTATATATACTAAGACTTTTGGCGGGAAAATTTGAAAAAATTTGCACAGCGTTTCCCCTGACAACATTTTCGACAAAAAATTCAAAATGGCTTCCCTTACAATTTTACGCCAAAAGTCATGTAAACATCTTCTCGTGCAAAAAAAAATTACAACTGAATCGCCAATTTCTTTCTTACTCCGAAAAAAAAATCAAAGAAGAACTTTCTTAAGCTCCTAATACTTTGTAAAAATCAAATTTGGAATCAAACATTACTATACGAAACGTTTAAAGTTTACAATTCACACGAGAAGATGTGAACATTACTATAAAGCAGCAACATGGCAAGTTTAAGTCTACTTCAAACATTAATAATATGGCCAACTGTGCACGATGTGTTCCCGCCGTTTAGTATTTAAAATTTTCAACCAATTTTAGACTTCAAAAGGTGTACAACTTGCCATGTTGCCTCTGGTAAAGACCTCAACCATCACGTTTAGCTTGTAATACAGGACATATTAAACAAAATTGAAGCAATTTTTATCCTTCTGTAAGAGGATTTTAGAGCAAAGACCTTAAATTTGTGATTGTTTTTTTCTCTTAAGCCAGGAGACAAATTCTGTTGCTTATGAGTTCTTGTGACAACATTCTTCAGTTCGTTATATTTTGAAAATATGAATTTAGTCGACTAGAAATAGAAGCAATTTGTATCCAACTGTAAGAAGATTTTAGAGAAGAATTTAACTTTACAATCGCTTTCTTTATTTCTGAAGCTATAACGATGACATGGACAAATTCAAGTGTGGTTTTAGCCGCAAAACGGTTACAATTACATCAATTGCTTAGGTCCATGTTGCTTATCAATTCTTGTGATAACATTCTTCAGTTATATTTTGAAAATATAAAATTCATTTGGATAAAAATAAATTCAAAGTTATTCAGTTTTACTTCTTGTAATTGCGATTGTTGCTTTGTCCTGCATTACACTGAACGTCAACAGTAAAAGGTCTTTATCCACTTGTAAATAAACTAAGAAATCGTAATCAAATCCAGATGTCTGCTCCAGGGAAACAAACTGGGGTTGTTCCGAGTTTTGTCCCACCCATAACACGAACTTTTGGTAATAAATTGTTAAATACAAGAAAATGATTTAAAATAGTTATGCAGACCATGAGAAAGAAAGCCAAACTATACATTCAAATGTTCTAACAGAATTTTTCCGAAGAACAAACTTTCGAGGATAATGGATACAGTTTTGCTTCAAGCAACGTAAAACAAACAAGATCCTCATTTATCATTACGAATTGTTTTAATATCTTAATACGTAGCAAGAAAAGCGATAAAGTTTCAGTTAACTGATTAACAGTTTTTTGGAAGAATAAACTTCTGAGGATAACCGATATAATTTTGCAATTAGCAAAATAAAACAAACAAAATTCTGACTCGATGATCATTTCAAATGTTTTTAACTGAAATCTTCGAAGTTTGCAAGAACAATGATGCAAAATTTGTCCGAGAAAAATTTCAGCGACAACCAAGACAATTTTGCAAGATGCGTATCAATTTGTTTTTACGATTCGATTGCTTATTTCCTTCATTAGTTATAGCCAGTGATTTTATTTGTCGTCGTTATCTGTTGTTTGGTGTTTTGTGGTCTGTATAACTAAGAAAATAATTCCAAACTTCATCGAAAATGGTGCTTAATTTCCAAAGAGCGAGACATCTGAGTTTTACACTAAAGATTCCAAACCGACAAGAGAACATAGGCACTTGATTATTTCTGTACGTCTTTAAACGTTTCGGTCAAAACACTGAAGCCGAAATTGAAAAAAAAAATTCTGTTTATGCTGGTTTAAACGAATTTAAAATTGTCCAATTGGTTTTCAATTAGCTTTGTTGTTATTTGTTAAATAATATTTTTGTAGTAAAGGAAGCCAGTGTTCTCTTGTCGATTGAAACTAATAAATAAGTCGATGAAGCAAAAATGAGGATCTTTTAACGTGGCACTGTAGTTGTATTATCGTATAGCAGTCGTTTAAAAGTGTAAAACAATTCGATTCTTTTTGAGTTCAAAGTTTGTTCATCGGTTTCGTTGAGTTCGTCAAAAATTCGTCAGTATTGTATGTGCAGGTTGTTATCTTCTGTTTGATTTCCAGAGTCATCGCTAAACGTTGTTTGTACTCTTGTCAAACTGTTATATGGTGAGCAGAATCCAAATCAAGTCTTGCAATGTGCGAGTGTCACAAGTATTATCATTTTTCGTCGCCGTTGTGTTCAATCGGTGTCGTTACTGAATACCTCAATAACAATTATAGTATTTCAAGTTTTGAGAGAAATATTTTACTAGTGTTAGAAAGCCGTTAAGAAATTTCTATTGTCGTGACTTCCAAGTTGATTAAAATTGGTCAGTAAAGATTCTTTCTCAAAGTATTTTGAAAAACATGGTTTCCAAACCGGATGACCTTGATTCTTTGACGTGTTTGTTTCTTAGTCTGTTTGTTCGTTTCGTCGTGTCTTTTGTCTCGTCTTGCAGTGCCACTTTAAAAACTTCACTTCCCTGCGCCATCAACTTAGGTTGTAAATATAGCAACATAATAGTGAAAGGGTACTCCTAAACTACTTGAGCGAAAAAAACGCTACAGATCACCGACTAGAACTCAAGAATTGACGTTTGCCTTGGTATTCAACCTTCAACAAACTACCAATTTAGAATACATCAAGACAATCAGATAACAAGTTTGTCGAGGTAATCTGAATCCAATCATTTGCAGCTCGCATGTACGATCGCAAAAAGTTTGTAAAAAGTACCCTTTGAAAAAAACTTCAAAAATGGTGGCTGATGTTGTACTAGCTTTAAAGGACATTATGCCAATTGTCTAAATCTTAACTTAGTGTTTTCACGTCTCGATGCAAACAATCATTACCGATAGAAAGAGAAAAAAACAAAATGAAATGAAAGCTCCTATAAATATTTAACATTTGGACAACCATCATTTTTAACAATTAAATTCTTTAATAATTTTAAATTAAAGTTCTTATCTTTGCAGTATATATTTCCCTGTACTTCGTCCAGTCTCGAGCAGACTCTTCTCCCGTTCTCCTCAAGATGCGAGTCTTTCTGGAAAAAAAAAATGATCAAACTATGATCAGTATTGAAATGCTTTAATTTTAAAACTAAATAAGCGAGAGAAACATAAGCCTGAAAGTGAACGAGGACTAAGGAAACTCCGGCGGCACTGTAAAGAAAGTTTTGCCGTGAAGGAAAAGAAAATTTAACCAACACCTGGAAAATTTGTCAAAGCAGAAAAATTCAGTTGTCCTTGACAATTAGAAATACAAACATCACATGTACGTACACGTGTAGAAACGTTAGCACGCGTTATTGGCTTTCAACTTGAGGTTCATTCATGAAGAAAAATTAACCGCCACTGACTTGAGCATTAGGTCTTCGTCAGAGCAAATACTTTTTAAGCCACCAAACTGTTCGTAATTTTTCGTAAATTATTTCAGAGCGTTTTTCCACCACAATATAGTTCTCCAGGGCTTCCGCCCTTGCTTTGTTGCAAAGGAAACGAGCGAGTTGAGTTCGAGCGATTCTCAAAGCAAACAGCAAGCACAGATGGCTACTCACCTCTGTGAATTTTTGAAAGATTCTTTAACTTTTCGGAACAAATTCAAGTAAAGCAGTGCTCAACTTCTGTTGCAAAAGCTCAGTGAGTTCCTCCTTAGCATTAACCAAGCATGGTTCTTCCATCAAGGGCTCAAAATTGCCTTCAGCGGGGCGACACGTCTTCACACATCCACTAACAGCATGGTTTGAAGCAAAATCTACATTTTGTCATGAATATGGATTACAAACTAGAACCAATCACTGACAAATACGCCAAAAATTTGGTGCGGAATGCGTTTACGCGCTTTTTGGTCAGCAAATCAAATGCTTCAGTAAAGAAAGACTTCGTATGGGCGCAGTACATAATTTAACCATTCTTTTGTGTCTTTTTCTAGTTGATTTGTTGTGTGATTTGTAAAACTTTGCATTTCAAATGAGAAAGAATTTAAAAAAGGAAATATTCATGTGATACCTATGAATTATATTAATATTAATCCGAAAACGTATGCTTAGTTTTGATGGGCTAAAATTAAAACGCACTAGACCTTTCATCTAGATTAATGTTTGGCCAAAGGCGAAGAACTCGTAGCTACTTAAATATTAAAAAAAAAATAATTAAGTAACAATAATGATAATAATAAAAGCAATACCATCAAAGCAAAGGGCAGTGAACCGCTAATAAACTGCAACAACAAGGTAATAATAAGGCAAAGAGAGGAAAAGACAAGGGTGGGAAGGGGCGGTTAAAAAAGTTGAGCTAATCCTCGTGGCTAGGTTAGTGAAAGCGCATGCTATAGAAATGCTAGAAAGGGGTACTATATTAAGACAACATTTAATAACTGATGAGTTTTCAAATTCTCGTTACCAGTGTAATGTGTGCCGCTACTGATACTCTTCGAAATTAAATGATTTAACAACATGGAAGTCAATTACGAAATGCTGATCACTTTTGAGCACCAAAACATGTTGTTTATAAAGATACAAAGCGATGGTACATAAAGAATTAAAGAAATTAAGACCTATTCTCACAACTACTTATCTCAGTTGTGGGCGGGGACCGTAAAGACCCTACATAACCCTTCCCACCGTTTAACCCCCCCCCCTCCTCCCCTGTGAAAAACAGTTGTTTTACAATCCCCCTTTTTGCTCTATTGAGTCTTTGCACCATTCTCAAGAAGTTAAGCCGCGATGATTTTGCGCTATTTTACCTTTGAAAAAGACTGGAAAGAGAGAAGTGCGCGACTACACGAGTCTTTTTTTTCTTTCAGTCAGGCACCTTTTCAATCCAAGTCCTCATCGTTTCACTCCCCTTCAGTCCCCTTGCTTTTCCGGTGCGTGCCTCGTGAGTTTACCCGCGCGTTCCCTCGTACATTTCTTCGTGAGTTCTTTGTGAGTTCTCTTGTTGTTTACCCGTAAATTCCCTGATAAGTTCCCCCCTGAGTTTCCTCGTGAGTTCTCCTGTGAGTTCCCTTATGAGTTTATTCGTGAAATCCCTCATAACTTCCTTCGTTGTTTACCTAGGGTGTTCTCTAATTCCCTCTTGATTTGCTTAGTGAGGTCTCCCGTGAGTACACTGCTGAGTTCCCTCGAGATTTCCTTCTTGAGTTCCCTCATAAGTTCCCTCGTGGGTTTCCTTGTCTGTTCCTTTGTACATTCCCCTGCGCCTTCACTCACAAGTTACTCTTGTGTGTTTCTCTTAAGAATCACTTGTGCTTTCACGTAATCACGCACAATAAATTTTACTCTGCAAGGGTGAAAAAATGAATGTACAAGTAAACGCATGGAGAACGTTGAAAGGGGACAGTATCGGAAGGGAGAACGCACAAGAGAACGCGTTCAAAAGAACGCGTACAAGAGAGCGCGCAACGGAGAACGCGCAAGAGAGAACGCGCTCAAGAGAACTCGCACAAGAGAACGCGTAGGGAAACGTAAGAGGGAATGTATGGGGATAACCCGTAGGGAAGTAATAGGAGTACAGGGGGAAGGGCATGAATGAACGTACCAGGGAAGACAAGAGTGAGCAAACGAAAGCATCTACTATGGAACGTGAGGAGTAACGACGTAGAAAGCACGTGGAAAGCACAGGAAACGGGGAGAGTACGTACACAGGACACATGGAAAACATCATTACAGGGGCTTCCCTCAAAACATTCCCCATGCGTTCCCTGGTTCCTTCGTCCACTCTTTAAGTTTCCGCAGTCTCGCTCACGGAGCCACCTGTCCCTCTTGGCCGGCAGGGCCTGTCCACCAGGTAAAACGGGCTGTGAAGGCACTGATTTGATTGGTTAGATTCTTTAACTAAGATGAATGCCATTTCTGGCCTGTAGTTTGCTCCTGTTTTAAATCGCCTGACACAATCTGTTTAAGGTCTGCAGGTGCTGTTATGGAACAAGCGGATATTTTCGGGAAGGATATTAGCCTTCAATTAGTGAAAATCTAGCCAGGAATCTAGCCAATCAAATTATGTGTTCACATTCATCAGGCAATTAACGCTTAAGGGAACTAGGGAATTCACGGAGTTGAGTTTCGGTCTAGGGTTGGCTGCGGGAAAATCACGCGGGAAAATCGCGAGGGAAAACCGCGAGGGAAAATCACGAGGAAAAAGGAAGGAACTGAACAAGGAACGACAAAGAAAACGCGCTGGAAACGGTGTTGGTAAAACTCGCAAGCCCAAGGGGGAATTCACTGTGGAAGATTGAGAGAACCCGCGATGGAAGGCGCGGAAACTCTTGTTTTTCAGCATTTTGTGACATGTGGCACCTGAAAGGATTGACACTGAGTTCGAAACATGACAGCCTCATCATCGATCAGCCTTAGCCATGCTCCCTCAATGGTAACTTTCGGAGGCGGCTTGACATCAGAACCCAGTTGTTCAAAGTTTCAAGTGGATAACGTTCTTCGCCGGATAAATCCCTATTGGATGGATAATTTTTGGCAAAACAAACTAAGCTGTTCACTGGATAGCCGGTGATTTATAAGCTGTAAAACGTGATAAATCGACTATAGTCAGGAGGCAGCTCGCCAAAAAACGATTTTCGCTAAACATTTTGAGTAGAAGCAGGCAACATAGCTTAAAATCTTTGTCTTGCCATCCTGATTAAGAATTGTGCTGTTGCCCACTCCAAATGTTATGATATCTGTCATTAAGTGGATTTTTTGTCTAGGCCCTCGCTCCTGCAGCATGAAAACGAGGCTGAACTGTAACATTTATATAAACCCAGTAAAAAGTGTACAATACGATGGGGAAATAGCTGAATCTTTGCTATTTGACGTTTAGAGCTTGATAGACAGTAGGTTAGGAGATAAATGCGTCACGTGATCAGTTATGAAGAGTCACGTGACTTTCCAATGAAATCGATTTTAAAGTAGAAAAGACGCTCTATTCACACTTTCCTTTAATATAGTTTTCAACTTAGTGACTTTTCTCATTTCGATTTACACATCCAACAATAAAAACACAAAAATGCAATAGGTGATCAGCTATGATGGGTCACGTGATGTAATGAAATCGTTCTATTTTCAGACATTCTATAGCGTTTCCAACCTATGTAACATTTCCCATGAGTTAGGATTTTTCATGTAAAAAGACTGAACTTTCTTCTACTTGGACGCACGGTTTATGCCAGAAATACAAGCTTATAAACCATAAGCAAAGTACCTTATATTACACAAGACCACAATGTGACTTCCACCTTATCAAAGTTGTAGGTCATGCTTCATTCGCCTCTGCTGCAGTGTTCCTGTCGTTTCTGCACCTATCGCCACATTTACATGCCTTGGAACAGCAAAGAGATAGTCGAACGCAAGTGCAGCATCGGTTTACACAGCATCCGCCTTCTCAGGAGCACCCACAGTATGCTAACTATAAACACGCCGCTGACACTTCTTCTCGCCTCATTAACTTTGGCTTCAGAAGGCCTTCACTGTAGTACTATCCGCTGTCTTCAGGCTTTGAGAGAGAAGGACATGGTTCCAGCGCTTTATTCCATACCATGGTCTGATAGTTTGCCCGCTTTATGTGGAGAGTCAGTTTATCTTGAGTCGGAGGTAGGGCGTCAAGATCTTTCTTGGATTTGCGAAACGCTGCCGCTCTTTCTTTGTTGATTTCCACCTCTTGTGCTCCCGGATTGTAGAGTTTGCATACAAAGGCTTCAGCTTTGGCAAGAACGTCAGCACTGTTTTGGCTTTCTTCTTCAAGGTGTTCCAAGAGGTCAGTTGCATCTTCGAAGACTTTCCATGCCGATGCCTTGCCCACACCATAGAACTGGCTTGTCGTATCACAGCCAGTAATGGCATGAAATGCCAGAAGCGACTTCCTCTTCTCCTCGGAGAGCGGATTCTGTGAACTGGTATGTAACGCCTTTGTCTTGATGTACCCGCAAACATCCATATCTCTTGACAAAGCTGCTCTCGGTGTGCCAAAAGGAGGACAAGAACGCCCGTATCACGACACAAAATGTTGACTTGCTTGTACCCTCTTGCCGCTGCGTCTCGGGCATGTAGTACTATTCTAGTATCTGCCTCCTCATGATCTGATGCGAGCTCTCTTACATCTTGTCGTGATGTGTCAGATGACCACACCTTCAGTGTATCCTTGAAGCCTCCATTGATCACCAGTTCTCGCCCAGGAGGCGCGCTGTAACTCTCAGAGATTTCAGTCGAGAGGAAATGAGCCAGGCTAGCCTTGTTATCTTCTAGAATGATGAACCTTTCACAGTTTCCAATTCTCTGATCTCTGTTATCCACATTGCGCCTTATCCCTGTGCTCTTCTTCTCCTTGCGCTTGTCTCTGGTTCCTCCTTTTATCGAGTTCTTGACATATCTGTCAAATAGCACGTCAACCCTTGTACAACTGTCCGAAAAATAGGAAGTGACATGACGAAGAAATCGGTCACTCCACTCCCCAAAAGATTTTGCTCCTTAAGAGTTGGCGAGGGACTGAACAGCTGCCATTCCATGAATAATAGTGCATGTTTGACTCTGGTTGATGGGTATTTGGCTCTTACAGACATTTCCTTGTAAAATGGTACCAAGATCCGACTTCCCTGTTTCTCGTAGACTTCCGTCTAGGGTAGCAAGTAACTTTGGGACTGGAGCAAGCTCGCTTTGAAGGAACGTATTCATATCTACATCACGACCGGATTCCAAGGCGAATGTGTGTATTCATTCTTTTTTTCAAATTGAAAAAAATAATTAAAAGATTCTATTTTTATATTAATTTTCAAAATACATTGCTCCAAACAAAACTTTTTGAAGCACATATTTACCCCATGAAACATATTTTTTTTATTTCTTATAGAGAATAATTCCTGAAAAGCTTACTGAAACAATTAATCAATCACTATTCACACAGCTAAGGCTACTTCAGTATCTATTCAACGGTTGTTATCTAGTCACGTGACCCATCATAGCTGATCACCTATTCCTTTTTTGTTTTTATTGTTGGATGTGTAAATCGAAATGAGAAAAGTCACTAAGTTGAAAACTATATTAAAGGAAAGTGTGAATGGAGCGTCTTTGATGCTTTAAAATCGATTTTATTGGAAAGTCACGTGACTCTTCATAACTGATCACGTGACGCATTTTATCTCCTAACCTACTGTCTATCAAGCTCTAAACGTCAAGTAGCAAAGATTCAGCTATTTCCCCATCGTATTGAACACTTTTTTACTGGGTTTATACTGTTACAGTTCAGCCTCGTTTTCATGCTCCAGGAGCGAGGGCCTAGACAAAAAACCCGCTTAATGACAGATATCATAACATTCGGAGTGGGCAACAGCACAACTCTTAATCAGGATGGCAAGACGAAGATTTTAAGCCATGTTGCCTCTTCTACTCAAAATGTTTAGCGAAAATGAAAAGTGAGCGCCCTGCGTGACAGTGCTTCCTGACTATTATCTTTTGAACAACTTTTGAACAACTTTTGAACACACTACAAGGATGACGGAAAAAATACATACCCAATGATTGAATTCTATACATAAGACTAAGAATATCCTTTATTGAATTTCCTACAGTAGCACCAATCTTTTCATTAACTATCTAGAAATACTTCTGATAAGCCTAGCCATTTATTAGTATCAAATTCTGTCGCGCTTTTTTTATTTTGCATCTGCAAATATGATTTTGTGAGTTCTTTGTCCCCACTTACCCTATCACTCCATGAAAAAAAAATTAAGTTGTCATCGCTCAAATCTTTAATTTGCCTTTGCTTTTGTGCAGTTATCATTCGACGCTCCACCAACATTTATCATTTGGTGATGTCTAAGAGTGGATTTCGACGGTGCGACTTTTCATCGCGACTGTCTTACGTGACTTGAAAGATGTTACAACTAATTGGGTTACTTTTATATGAGCAAGACTTTGTCAGGAAAGTCATAAGTGAGTTGTAGGTTTAACGTAGACCAGACAGTTCGTTTCACAGGCCAGTCTTAAACAGTTCACGTACAATTGTTAGAAAAATGGTGCTCTAAGCCTCAGTTTTGGATCATAACAAATGCTAAGGCGACTCCTTTAGCCTCTAGCTCTATTGTCCCCCGGCTGTCCTTACCTACAAATAATCAGAATTTCAGCAAAGCAAAAACAAAAGCTATCAGCTATAAAAAGCTTGACATTATCTCAGTGTTTTAACTCTAACAAGGTAAGATTGTGTTGTGAGCTTATGATCCATTTAGCAGTGGTCTTTCAAGAAGTGTTCCGCCATGGCAACCACAGGGGCACCAGTTGGTACTTGTGGGAAATCGCCACTTGATCCAGCGATGTCAAAGTGTGAGTAGCAAAGTGGCTTGTCTGAGTCAATACCATGCTAGAAGGACAAAACAATTCGTCAATATTGGCAGCTCTCTCGCGAAATAACAAGTCTATCCTAAACAATAAAAAATTCGATTTTATTTTGAAACTGCACAGCAGTCTTCAATCCGAGAGTCTGTCTCCTGTTTAGCACAACCACTCGAAATAAACTTTGGAAGCAGGGTTTCTGAACTAACCTTTCTTCTAGTTGAAAATATAATGGTCCAAGGATCAAGAATCAACAAAAACCACATCTCTGACATGTCCGAATAAGGCTTTTACTGGTTTCGCTTAAATTCCAGTTTGCTTTCCTTCTCGATGGCATTTCGGCAAAGTGAGCGATGAGTGTGGCAAATATAGAAACGATACGTATGGAAAAATCCCGACCGAGGAGGAATCGCTCAAAACACTTGGATTTACCTCAAGACTACCTTGCCATGCAATAAAAATATGTATCTCTAATAACCTTATCCAATCCTGATGCTCGGATGAGGAACGCTGCAGGGAACTGATGTCCTCTCGGGGTGCGGCTGGAGGGAGAGCTGTTACACTGCAATACATCTGCATACTCTGATTTGGCCTTTGCAAACTCATAGTCCTTAATAAAGAAATATAAAGATAAATCGATTTGAGAGAAGGTACAGGTTAGTGAAAACTGAAGAACAGATTAGTGAAAAATATTTTCCAAGTCCTTTCTAGTGATACAAAAATGTCTATTAGATAAAAATGCAATTTCAAGTTCGTTTGGGCTACCGCACCTTTCTAAATTGTCCATTTCTTGAAAATCGTAACCTTCCAACTAATGGCAGAATATTCCACTACAGTCCTTACTTTTCATCATAAAAATTGAAGTACATTCTTATTTCTAAATGCATTAAAAGCACCAACATACTCACTTCTCTCCGAATTGTTGAAATTTCAAACGGATCACCCATGTCGTGCCCAGCTAACAGAGTACAATGTACAAGATAAGAATTACAAGAACAATAAATTTATCAGGTGCACAGGGAAAGACATCCCACTACATGTAAATTGTTCACTCTTTTGATAAGGGACAGTTCTGCAAAATATCCTTTTGTCATCATGAATGGTCTTCAGTGTTGTCTTAATACACACTTGAAGAGTCCCACAACATTGCATGCAGGGGTGTATAAAACGAATGTAAGACGTCCTAAAAAGGAAAATCTCTAACAAGATGACAGTCGATGCTTCATACTCTTCTAGTAGAAATCGTGATTTTTTTCTGACTGATCTAACATGTTGTTTTACTAATATCTGCCCTCGAAAAAAAAAAACTTCCTTTATTGTGAACATAATAATAACGATTCTACACAGTTTGTTATTACGTTGAAGTTAAAAATGTACGACAGCTACCTTTTTGGACATTTTGAGCAAACTTTGTGCGAGCTGCTGGTCCATTGTCAAGGACAATCTATCAAATGAAATATATTTGATATGGTAAACAGTCATGCACTCACTGTATCTTCTCAAGTTGTTAGATAGTCTAGTACTAATAAAAATAGTTGTACCCATCTTTTCAATGTTTGAGCAGTTACCATTTGTTAGAAGTAGTTTGGCAGTATGGCGCACCTTTCCAGTGAATTTTCAAGCAACTTAAATATGTAATACATCAATTACATTTCTGTGCCCTATTCTTTTTATTTCTAACTTTCTGTATATTTTATTTTGCTTCTATATTTTTTATATATCTTCCTAGTAATTTATATATAAGTGTTTAGCCCATGTATTTTTTAATTGCTCTCTTTATTTTACATGCGTTCTATATTTTTTATATTTGTTCCAATTTTGTTTTCATTCCAAGGAAGATTTTTTATTTTCATTCTAATTAGTATGCAACAGGTAATCACATGACCCTGATCTTATGCCATTTTGACTTTTGGTCACATGGAGGAACAACTGTCCATCCACTGCATGTCTTGCGGTCGCGGATGCCTTGAGGCTTTGAAGTCATTTGAGACCTGGCTCTACATCAAACACTATGCCTTGGCTGAATTCAACGTCAGTCTCGTAGTCTTTTTTTTTTCCAACTTGCTGAAATTTGCAGTTAATAATGTCACCACAGGCACTTGTTTCTTTGTCAGGTAATTCTACAAACCTCCAGCTAACTGTTATTTGTTGTCTTGGTCAGTGCTACAACAAAGCTTCTGGAAGAGACACTATGACAAGGAAAATGGTACACACCGAGTAGGCAGGGCCCATAGCAATGACAGCATGGCCAGTAAGAGTGGCAATGGTTACAATCTGAGTAGGAACCTTCTCTTCAAGAGCCTTTGAAACAAAAAATACAAATATGAGAACTTGATATAAATACTCACTGAATCTCAGTTTGATAAATCAGTTAAAAAGTGATTTGGAAACTAAAGCTAAACCCTAGTTGTTTTCCTAATACAGCAAGGATTCTGTGCAATATGGTGCAAGGATCCAACCTGAGTCTGCTTGCAGACTAAATCTTGCCCTGTACAAATAAACCAAGGCCATTGTCTGTCATTTACCTTCAGTTTCATGTAATGAAGAGAATCAGCCATGGCCATACGGCCTTCAGCATCAGTGTTTCCGACTCTCACCCTGGTACCAGCAGCAGATGTAATTATTTCATCAGCAACGTAACCCTCTATGAGAATTAGACACAAAATTCACTTAATAACTTACATATATTTCATCATTGTTATTATCAATCTATGACATGTCACATGACAAACTGAAACTGCACGTACCAATAAAATAAGCTGATCACTCTCTGGTCGGAAACATCCAGTATTTTTATCAAAAAGAATTCATTGTTATATAGCTGGAGTTAAGTCCAATCCAATGCACACCCCCATTGCTTGATGTATGGTCATGTGTCAATGGCTAAATCTAAATGTTGGCCAGGTAGGCCAACAATATTTTTAAGTAAAATATTTTTACTAAGCAATTGTTACCCACTTTCCTATTAACCATAGGTTACTTTGACTTCTACCTGACTTAAACTTTGCTCTCAACTCCAGCAATGAAACAACACTTAATCACTTGCCCTGAGAGAAATAGTTTGGAAAAAACAAACTTAACTGTTTCCCAAGGGACCAGTGATTAAGTGTATAACGTTTTTGCCTTTACCTTTTCACAATGTCAAGAAGAAAAAAACCTTCTCTTAATCTATAATAAGATTCTCTATATTACCTCCTCCTATACTGTTGCGCACCATGGCCATTGTACCCAGCACTTTTATTCCTTTTGGCTTCAGCATGGCCAGAGTCTAAACAAAAAATATATACAACCATGAATCATTTTGCATGGATTGATCACTGCTGTGCTGGATCTTTTCCAAACCATGATAGGAGTTAGGACAAGGTGAACCTGCTAATCATCAGTCCTTGTCGTACCATGGGACACATAAGCTAGCCCAGCCATAACAACAACAGTAACACATGTACCTGAAAGAACCCTGCCACAGCTGCTGCACCACACTTGTCCCTTAAAATAAATTTAACAAAACAATTTGAATTAAAATTGACCTAAAAATCACTAAGGTATTGTTACATTGCCACCTTTGTGAATTTTAATAATAATCATGTATATAGCTTTTTTATCACATAAATTTTTCTTATTATTGTAATAGTTGTAATTTTTTTAGGTAGGCGTCCACAATTAGTAGAGGGAACGCTTCCCCTCAGCTAAACATTTTAGACACGGTAATAAAGTTTATTATTATTATTATTATTATTATTATTATTATTATTATTATTATTATTATTATTACATGGAGCTACACGCTTCAATATCCTAGCATTATAGGTACGCAATGCGTGCAGAGGGCTATGTAGCTGCAGTCCTTTGCACACATTGCAGGCCTATGGTACAGGGTGATAGTGTTATACGTACGCCATGCATACAGAGGGCTATGTAGCAGGTCAATAACATAAAAGTACACAATGTGTGCTGAGGACTGTGTAGCTGTAGTCAAGGCTGCTGCCTAACAGGTGCCCGGTCGCCTGAGGCGCCTAAGTTATGAGTGTGGGCGACTTAGGTTTTGTCCAAGGAGCCCGAGTGGGCACCTAAACATGGAGTTTTCATTCCCATCTAATCTGCCTGATGACTTCAATGTTCTCATGAAATCAGTCAAAACATCATTCACACAATAAATTAAACGGAAAACAACATCTTCTCTGAGCCTGTTTTGCTTTTAACACGAGAAATATAGGCCAAAACACGGCAACAAAGTCTCTCTCCGCTCACAAGACAGCCGAAAACAGCCATATTTGAAAATCGCCCTATAATGCATTCCAAGCTCAGTATTGAATAAATGTACGTCATGTATGCCAACGGATTGTGTCTCTGTTGATGCCCTACTGATTCCAGTTGCAAAATAACTACTTTGATAACAAATATTTTTGGAAATGGAGTGATCATGCTGCTGACATTATATTTACAATTGAATAAAGATAAATGTCTCTAAATTCTTGGGCTTTCTGTCCAATACTTTGGAAAACTTCACCTAGCTGTACTGAATGAATTTCTGTAGTTTCTGAAAGGATATTTATGACTTAACAGTCAAAATATTCAAGTAGCTAACCAGCAAAAAGAAAACATCATTGCAATTCTTTTTGCATACTAGGGTTTTATATTTTAAATTATCAAAGGAATTGTCACGACTCCGCCCAATATACGAGAATATATTGTCTCCTAAGACACTGCCAATACAATGCAGTAATGCTGCCTAAAAAAACAACTGAAGCCCGGGGAAGGAAAGCACATTTCAGTGAGGCCAAATTCAAATGCCCCAAATGCCTCTTCCATTTTTATTTGTTTTCATTTGCAACTTCCATTTCATGATTAGTAAAATGTACTTTGTTTTGTTAAAAGAGAATTGCTAAATTAAAAACAAAAGCAGCAATACAAATTTTTGTAAAAAAGCCGCAGCACTTGCATGCATACGCCAATTATTGAATTTGTTTGACCACAAATAGTGTTCTTTCTCAGTCATAACCTCATCACTTTGCTGAACACTTTATTTCAAGAATTTGATTGATATTAAGCAATTAGGTTATTCGCTCTCTCGATTTCTATTGTGTGATAGTTGACGAGGGTGCAGCCCGAGTCAACTATCACACATAGAAATTGAGAGCAACTAATCTAATTGTTTTAGTATAAATCTACTAGTCGTTCAAAACTTTCATCTAAATCCTCTTCACAGACACTTCGAAAACACGAAGAAGCAGCCCCCTGCGTACACTGCTATGCTACTCACTATTTATCACAGAATAGAATGTGAGTAGCGTAGCCAATCAGAGAACGCCATTCGCGATAGAATGCTAGTAGATTTATACTAATAGACCATATTAGTGTCTCATGGAAAATCTCTGCCTCCGGACCCCTCCCCTAAATTTCCAAATTCACTCCACGCCCCTCCCCCGTCTTCCCCAGTCTGGCCAACCCCCCGGATTGACCATGGCAAATTTATTCTGGGCTCCTAAAAAAGTGGCTTGGGCTCCTAA